AAAATTGAAGCCAACTTACACAACTACAAAGATCGTTGCTATTTGAAAAGATGATTAATAGTAGACCCACTCTGCACTACAAGTAAGAATCTAAACCGATAAAAACTTTACTTCCTTAAGGGATTATGTATGTAATCTCAATAGTGGTTAGCACTGTGCCTTGTACATTTATTCACATAAGCACTAATTGACAAGAATAATCATTATTTCACAGTAATATATACAGTAATTTGATTGTAAAACGTTAAAATACTTTTTTTTTCACAAAAAGCAATTTCCTTTCTACTCACTGGGACATTAAGCCAACTGACAGTTTACAAGCAGAAAATGTTCCAGCCAATAAGATGAGCCAGTTTCCTTAGAAACATTGTTTTACAGTACTTCACTGTACTTTTGTATTTAATCTCATAGAATACAAGTAAAACAAAACAGTCTCATATAGCATCTTGTGATATTATACACTTGGATATGATGTAGATTAAAACATACAATTTATTCTTGTCCATAAATGTTGATGTATGCAACAACAATGCCAAATAAACAATGACTTTGTTTCTTAAAAACATTATAATGGGCTGCTACTTTTTACACAATATTCAAGCGATTAATGATAATTTGAGACCTTAAAACCAGGCAGAGGACTGAGCTATACAGCATAGACTAGGATGTGATCAAACTCCTGGGAAACCCTTGAAACACTGCCATGGAAGCATAGATGGCCACAGCTGTGGATTGTGGAGCTGTGTAGGTGGTAGCCGGAGATAAAGAAAGATGCTGGAGGCATAAACCCTATAAGCAGCACATGGTTCAGGGGCCACATGAACAGGAGACTCTGCAGGGTTGAGCCTTCACTGATCGCCTGGCGGCTTTGCAGGGACTCCTGATTCAACAGAGACTGGGGGCCCAGGTATCACTCCGCAGTGAATCACGCAAGGCTTTCGTCAGTGTGCAGCGAACTCCTTAATTCACAAGTGCTGGCCCCACAAGGTGCAGTGGGCTCTGTTCCTGAAGGAGCAGTTGCTAAGACTTTTCCCAGCAGGGTTCCTCCTCCCAATCAGAGAAGCTCCCCCAGAGCTCTGCTCTAATCCCTCAACTCCCCAAACTCCAGAAAATGACCGTAACACCTAGTGTTTTGTTTCCCTGGCTTTTCTGACCTCAGCGAATACACAGGGAGGTGCTGTTATGGCCCAGAGTGTTTTACCTCTGCCAGAATTTTAGCTCACTTCCTAAAATAACTGTATCAGAGGTTGCAAACCAATGGTGTGTGAGTCAAATTCAGCCCACAGACCTATTTGGTTTGGCCACAGCAGGATTTAAAAAAAAAAAAAAAGTTGAGCCACACTTTAAAAGAGGGACATTTTACATAAACTAAGATATCTAGCTTTTCTCTGAGAAATCAGAAGATCTAGCAGCCTAGGAAACAACTGGCTGAAGCTGAGGCATGGCTCCCCCTTTAGAAAGGTCATGCACCCCCCAGTTTGCTTAGTTCCCACACCCCCTATAATGTCCCAGGCACCAAGGCCTGGCCTTGCTCACTTGCTTCCATAACTGCTGGGTCTGTGACATCTGAAATGTGCTCTACAGAGAGATTTAACGATACTACTGTAAATGTGAGTCTAGTCTAGTGTTTCTCAATGGCATGCTACTGACGCAATAATTTTGGTGCAATAATTTCTCGTTATGTAAGACTGCCCCATACATCGCGGGATGTTTAGCATCCTGGCCCCTCCTACTAAAAATCCCAGTAGCACCTGCAAAGTAGCCCCTAGAACGACAGTAATATCTCAGGTTGAGAACCACTACTAGCATGTTAAGTTTGGTGTGGTGAGCATTCCCCAGGTTTGAAGAAAAGGTAGCCTTGTCTTGAGAGGACTTTTAAGATTAAAAAAATACAGGAATCATTGATTTTCTGATTGGCCTGGCACAGTAAAGACTGATGAACAAAAACAAATAGGTATACTAGTATGAAGCTTTGGAGATTTCATCCATTTTCTTGCTCCTCTAGAGGTTCTGAGTTTAGATAACACTTACTGAGCCCTATCTATGTGCCAGGTACTATGCTAAGTGCTTTACCTCATTTAATCCTCATAATGATCCCATAATAATCAAATGAGAAAACTTAGGGCTTATAAGGCTAAATAACTTCCTTGCAGTCACACAATCAACAAGTAGCAAAGCCAGGATACAAAACTTGAAATCTATGCTATTAACCATTATTCTTCTGTACTGCGAGATACATGGTAAGACTTAGATGATGTCATAATTTTATAAGACAGCATAAAGTTTAAACCAAAACCTGCTTTTAAACAGAGGCGTTTCTTAGCCAGTTCATGAGTCCTTCAAGTTAAACAGTAATAAGAAGTGGCTGATACTGGAGCATAACAAATGATCTTTTGCAGGCAGAGCTTAAGGTTCCAATTTCAGGGTTTTTTGTGCATATATGTAAAGGTGCTACCAATTAACAAAGGAGAGATAGGAATATGATAGTTATTATATCCCCTAATGAGCCTTCCAAATAATTTCTAAAACAAGCATTCTATAGGATTTTTATTACAGTGAAGACCATTTTGAAAGAGTCAAATATTTGCTGCATTCATCTCATATTCTGCTATATTCTGAAGAGATATGAGACCAAAATATTTATATTTTAAAAACCAGAGGAAAAAAGTCAACAAAAAGAAGCATATTCAGATTAAATTTAAGGTTAACTCTCCCAAAATGAGTATCTGTTTGCCAGCTTCCACCTATACGGGGCATATCAGAAACGCTACTACTCCCTGATTTTCTCCACCAATCTTCTAAACAAAAATAAAAGCATTTGGGATCGCCTACTAATTATGAGGTTGGTAACAGAGGTAAGATATTTAAAAATAAACAAAGTTTAATGCCCTTATAATAAGTGGTATATGAAAGAAATAATGGAAAGCCTTGATTCTTATTAATTAGAAATATCATTCAATTAGGAATATTGATTTGGTGGTTTGCATAAAATGGTATCTAGGCTAGAGAAATCAAAGGTTTCTCTATAAAGTGACTTTAAAATACCTCAAGAACATTCCGGTAAAGGCAAACTACACAGACAGTAAAAAGATCACTGTTTGCCACGGGTATGGGGGGAAGTAGGGAGGGTTGATAGGTGTAGCACAGGGATTTTTTCAGGGAGGTGAAACTACTCTGTATGGTACTATAATGGTAGATACATGACATTATGCATTTGTCAAAACCCACAGAACTTTACTGCACAAAGAGTAAGGTTTACAAAATTAAAAAATTTAAAACGTAAATTTAAAAAAATCATTTAGGAGGTCTGGGGATCCCAGGAAGGAGTGCAAACTATAACAAGAGAATCTAACTGTATAAAAATATATGAAACAACCTCACCAAAAGTGATAAGGGGAAAGGCGGGTGCAGACCTAAGTAACTTTGGAAGTTAGTCTGTAAGATTAAAGGCAAAAGGAACTTTACAACAGCACCGTACTCTACTTGATGAAGTCGTTTCCCACAGGGGTACAGGTTAACAATTCTGATACTGCTATACATGTATACGGGAATTGAACAAGGAAGTAAATGGACAGTAGATGGTGGGAGCCAGGTTTCTCACTGTTGGAGTGGGAGGTTACAGTTGGAGACATCAGTATGCACTCATGTTCAGGTTAATACAGATGCAGATGGTTACATATAGAAATATTTATAGGTAAGTGTATATACATTCATGAGTTTACACATAGATAATTCCTTGCTCTGTCAATTGAGAAGGCCTATAAGCAACAAAACCTCAGTAACAACAAGCCCCTAGCACCCCAATCTTGTTTTTCAATATCAATCTCCAATAAAGGAACCAGGGGTCCTTGGAGAAATGGCTGACTTTAGGGCTGGGGCAAGGAATATACAAGATGAGCCTGGAGCATCTCGTAGTGCCAGCAAGTAAGGAAGTGTTTAAAAACAAACAAAATGATAAGGGAATGTTAAAAGGACACAGGAGCCAACTGAAAGAGCTCCCAATGGCCAAAACTGGGATAATTTGAGAGCAATAAAATAAATAAAGCAGTATTAGATTATAACCAAAAGTAAAAGTAGCTACAATTCCATACCGATACAAGAAATGACTGAATAAATAAATAAATGGGGAGAAGAGACAAATTTTCCATGCATCAGAATTCCAAATAATTTATGTAGATACTCCACCCTCAAGGAAATGGAGCATAACTCTCCACTCCTTAGCTGTGGGCTGTACATAGTGACTTCCTTCCAAAGAGTAGTTTGAAAAGGGACCGGGGAGAGGCGGGGAGAGTAACTTCACAGCACAGAAACATGACAAACACTATCACAGCCAGGTGATCCAGGGCAATATCAACAGTGGTAAATCATGTTGCTAGTATGTACTCTTGACATGGTGTGATGAAAATGGCACTTTACCTCTGTGGTCTTCCTCCCAAAAACCCAGCCTAATCATGAGAAAAACATCAGACAAATCCCAACTGAGGGACATCCTACAAAATACTGCCTGACAGTACTTCTCAAAACCGTCAAGATCATCAAAAACAAGGAAAGTCTGAGGAACTGTCATAGCCAAGAGGAGCCTAAAGAGACATGGCAACTAAATGTAATAGTTTCCTGGATGTGATCCTGGAACAGAAAAAGGACACTGGATAAAAAGTAAGGAGGCTGAACAACATGATGAGTGTAATTAATGTCACTGAACTGTACATGTGAACACTGCAGAAATGGCAAATGTTCTATTACCTATATACTTACCACAATTAAAAAAAAAATCCCTTAGGGAATCTGGATGAAGTATGGACTTAGTAAATAATAAGGTGTCAATATTGGTTTGTTAACTGCAACAAATGTACCATGCTAATGTAAGATGTTAATTATATAATCAGAGGAAACTGTATGTGGGGTATATGGGAACTCTCTGTACTATCATGTCAATTTTTCTATAAAATTAAAACTGTTCTTAAACAAAAGAGTCTGTTTAAAAAATTTTTTAAAAGTACCTCAAGATGGTTTATGAGGCCTGGCACAGGAGTCTTATTCTCATCTTCAGCTCTGAAAGCACCTTCTTTTCAGTAGTCTGGAATCTTAAAAAAATGAGAAAATGGTTATTGTTCTGCTAACTACCCAAATGACAAAAGCTCATAGACTTCTGGTGTCTTAAAGTACCAGCAGACAGGATGCTAGACCACACTTTCAGTGCAGGTAGTTCTGTCCCAAATATCATCATGAGCTGAATCTTCTTTTCTTTTAGGTCACAAATATCCTCTACAGTAACTAAATTCTGCATTATCTCACAGAAGAGAGCAGTGGTTCAAAAAGATAATCTACTGCTTGTTTTCTTAAGTCTCCTGCAGCCTACCTGGTTGTGACTTACCATCTTGAGCCCTCTAGTCTACATATAAAAGAAAGAATTTAAGCCAGGGCTTATCGAGTATGTATAAAATTTTTAATTGTATAGCTGAAATAATATATACTTTTTTTAAAAAAATGCTATTATATAACCCATCTCTGTTCCATAGAGAGAAATGTATATATAGTACTCTTATTCATTTATTCTGACGAACATGCCTTCTCCCCAAAATTTAGAGACTATCTTCATTTTCAGTAAGTCTAGTAATTCAGTTACTTTTATATTTTTACAGCAAATATTGGCTTATATCTGAGTTGTCGTACATACATTTCTAATTAATCTCCCAAGTCAACTTCATTTTACAACCACAGTAGACCTAAAATAACATACCTTGTTTATATCACATACTTTTCAGCATGTTACCTCACTTTTTACTTTTTAATCTCTCACTTTATCTTGAATATTACCTAGAAAATGAACTTCAAGTACTAACAAGGAGGACTTTGCACCTACACGAATGCTGTTTTCTACCACATGTTATAGGTTTTTCCACTCTCTAATATGACAGTACAAAATTAACCCCACGTTCATGTTAACCTTCTACCATTAATTTCAATCAGCACAGTTTACTCTGTCCTAAACGCCTACAAAGTCACTGTGCGTTTACTGCTTTCAGAACTTGAAATATTTTTATTAACTTTTTATTCTCCTCTAGGTTTTATCACTATTAATCTCGAGAGCAACATGCTCTGTTAGCTACAGTTCCTTGTACACACTAAATACTTAGTATGAACAACAAAATATGACTTTAGAGATAATTGGAAGTCTAATCTGCTTTGGTTGAGCCATTCCAAGGTCTTTGTTGTGTCAACTCTTAAATGGCAGTATTTACAAAGAACAATGAGACAACCTATCAGTGACATATAACAGAAGGAGATAATCTCCGTATTTTAGTACTTAAAGAGATGGCTTAGAATAGTCTTTTTCAAACTGTGGGTTGTGACCTATTCATGAGTTGTCAAATAAATTTACTGGGTCATGACCAGTATTCAAGGGAAAAAAAAGAAACATAATAGCACTCTAATGAATGCTTCACACATAGTAAGGGTAAATACTGTTTTAAAAACCTTGTTTCAGGGATGTGGGTGTGGGTGTGTGGAGTACTAGATTATGATTAAAATGTATTTCTTACTGTGAGTTGCTCTGAAAACTAATGCTTAGGATCATGGTTAAGTATCTTAGGTTATATAAGAAAAATATTTACTACTTTTCCATTTTACTTTTTTCTGAGCAGATGGTAACTTTCCAATTAATAAACAAAGCAGAGTTATTTGAAAAACCTCTGGATATGAAAGCTAAACAGCTTAATTCATTATGCTATGAATTTCTGTGTGACTTTATTTCTATCAAATGCAGTCTAAATGTGTTTAGGTAGTTCCTTTACACACATATAAGCAGCTCCTGCCTTCTGAAAGATGAAAAAATAAGTAATCAGTCTCATTAAGCTAGAAATTCAAGACCAAAAACCATGGAAATTACCTACTAGAAAGGTTTGAAAGATTAATAAAGATGCCATTTATAATAATTTGCTTAACAATTCCTAATCAGACAACATCCTTAAATCCAACGCTCATTCATTTAATAAAATCTCAGCACTCGGCACTAACCTTGGAGATACAAATGGTCCATGCCCTCCAGGTAAGAAAAACACACTGGTAGCTATAAAAGAGTGGGGTTAAGTCCTATATTAAGAAACAGTCAGAAAAAGAAACAAGGTAGGGCAAGGAAAGCTTCATAGAAAAGATGACATCTGAGCAGGGTTGCAAAGATGAGTAGGACTGATGTTTTTAAAATAAAAGCAATAGAAGTATAAAGCTGGAAGGAACTCTACACGTTATCTAACCCAGTGGTTCTCAACTGGTAGTGATTCTTCTCTCGGGGCATTTGGTAACATCTGGAGACATTTTTAATTGTCACAACTGGGGAAGGGTGCTGCTAGTATCTGGTGGGTAGAGGCCAAGGATGCTGCTAAACATCCTATAATGCACGGGACAGCCCCGATAACAAAGAATTATCCATCCCAATACAATCCCTTGTTTTACACAGGAAGATAATGAAGGCTAGCTAGAGGAGTTAGAATTTTTGCTAAAAAGTCAAAATTATAAAACAGGCCTCATAACATCTTGTCCAGTGTTTAATTCACAACACATACCCACATATTATACTAGGAAACAGACGTGTTAAAAAGAATAGGAACATTTTTATAAGGTGGAAAAATGAACTATCTAGAAATCAAAGCTGATATACATATAATCTTTCTTGATACAGATCCACCAATGGCTTAAAGCAAGAATTATCTGATATAATTCTATTAAAAATTATGCCCTTATTTTTCAAAATACTAGATTTATCATCTGTTCAACCAGTTATTGACCATATATTTGAGAATAAGAAAAATTAAAATAAAAACTAGGAAGCTGGAAGACAGGCATATACATACATATAGCTACTCTTTGGGGCAGGCCTTTCAAATTCCACCAGCTCCAACCACTGAGGGTCTGGGACCTGGGTGGTATTAAAAAAAAAATCTAAACCCATTGCCATCGAGTCAATTTTGACTCATAGCAATCCTAAAGGACAGAGTAGAACTGCCCCATAGGGATTCCAAGGAGCGGGTGGTGGATTCGAACTGCCGACATTTTAGTTAGCAGTCGTAGCTCTTAACCACTGCACCACCAGGGCTCCTGGGCAGTATTAGCCCCTTTTATTCAAAATTAACTGTTAGGAGATCCCTTTACCCTTCCATTTGCCAATCAGGTTTCTAATAGCAAATGAACTGTCCAAAGAACTTGTAACTTCCACTGCTAAACAGTTTGTAGTAGCTACTTAGGGTCCTGATTTAAACACATGAAGTCACTTGAACATCTTTTATTTTTTCACCTTTGCCCTTGAATGCACAAAAGGGATGCCATTATAAGTGGGGTGGGGATGTAACAAATATATTAACAGAATCAGCAATATAGTTTAGTTTTTCAATAAATAAATAACCACAGGAATACACAGATATATGACCCTTACCTCCAAGTTTTTAATTGGTGAAATTTCAACTAAGATACCTTGTCCACTATAATTCATGGTAAAAAACTTGAAGAACAGGCTAAAGATACTGTCCTAAAATGATTATTCTCCTAAAAAATGAAAGACCAAAGAGGTAAGATGCAAACTCTGAAAGGTTTAAAAAAGCAAGCATGAGCAAACGATAGTACGAATAAAGGGTCATGAGAAAGCACGCAGCCATTCGCACACGTTTACTACCTGAAATTTCAGTGAGTGAAGTTTATGTTCAATCAATACTAAGGCAGAGTTCTCCTGACTGCCTGAGCAACCCTGCTCCAGCCTTCAGTTACATCTAGGGAGGTTTGTGGCCTCAGATACAGCCAGCAGAAGGACATTCAGCTGCATCTCTGGCAAGTCATTAGGGGTCCCCACAGCTTCTCATGATGTACTTGCTAGTCATTAAAATTTAATGAGTTTGATTACAAAACTGTACTGAGGCCCTTTAGGGGCCATAGTTCTTTAAAATTTTAATGGTGCCATACTGAGTTTGATTTATTCTCTAGTAAAGTAGAACTATTTAAACTCCCACACCCCAAGCGAACCACACCCTCACTGCAAGCTCCCAACAGTGAAGGGGCTATATTCATTATTTTCTGCCATTTTCGCTGCCCTATGCCTTCTCAGCTTATTTAGAACTGCTCACTCAGGACTGGGAGACCCTACCCATAACCCCCAAATCCAACCCACAAAATCATCAACCCACCATTCAGGAATAACTCCAGCTTCCTCAAGAAGGAAGAAAAATACTTTGTCATAAATCTAGTGAAATGACAGAAAGAGTTTTCAGTTAAAGGAGAAAGTAGAATCTTAAGTCCCCAACTGGGGATTTTAGCAACTCAAGAACTGACTAGATATTGCAGGACAACTAAATAGTCCTAGTGGATGAGGAAAAAGTTCATCCATATAGAAAAATTCAGCTAATAACTGTAGAACTGAACAAAACAGAACAATCACAATTTTGCATCCTTTAATTAAATAACTAATTTTTGCAATGGTAATCAATGGATGGTAAAACCACAGATGAAAAGCTGGGCTTCATGAAGGGATCAGGCTATTCCACCTGAACCCACTGATGAATCTCAGCAACACTTTAAGTGAAATTACCAGACACTATGTGCCTCTTGATGTAATATGAAGTGACAGCAAGTACTCATGCCCCTCCTCCAAAAAAATATAATCTGAACCTAATTAAGCACATAGATCTAACTTTCAGTCCATGTAAAATACAGAGGATAAAGGAACAAGCTAAACATGAGGAGGAAGCAAGTAATGAGCCAAATTCTAGAGGTTAAAAAAAAAAAAGAGAGAGGGAGCAGACTGTCATAGATTAAAATGAAATTGAAAGAAACTTTAGGGACATAACCAAATACAATGAGTGGATCCTGTTTCAAAAGAACCAACCATAAAATTTTTTTTTTTTTAGTCAATTGAGGAAATGTGAACATGGACTAAGCATTACACAGGCTACTAAGGAATTGTTATTAGGTTTGTTTTAAACAATATGGATGATGACGTTGCAGCTATCTAAGAAAATGTCATTTTGGGCATGTATTAAATTATTTAGAGGTGAAATAACATCTTGGATGGGCTTTAACATACTCAGCAAAAAGGCAGACAGGTGAAACAAGTATGCTGAAATGTTAATGGTTGTGGCATCAGAGGCTGATTGAATTTATTTGTGTATGTTTGGAAACATTCACGATAAAAAGTTAAAAATATGAACAATCAATTAGGAGTCATTATAGAGTCCTTTAAGAATAAAAGTAATATATCCAAAATAATACTTGAAAGATAATAATTTTCATTATTTGCAGAGATTTCACAAAAGAGAAGCTATAAACATAAATTACTGAAGATTCTCTAGGCAGTCCAGAGATAAAATCCTTAAAACTCAATACCATTATATTTAAACATTTATCAAAAACTTATTATACGTAAGACCCAATGATATGTGACAGTAAAGCTAAGAAGTGTGAAGTCCATGCCCTGTCCTCAAGCTTACTCTTGAGCTGGCCAAAAAGAACACATATTGTACCTTGATGACAAAGAGTTTAGAGAAGAGAGAGACCAGTTCAGGTAAAGCAAGTTCTTTGAAGAAAAATAATCAAAGTAGACAACAGAAAAGATGCAGGACTAAAAGAGAAGGGAAGAAAAAAATGCAAATACCCTCAATGAGGAAATTCAAAAGACACTGGTACCAGTCAGAGTTCTAGCAACATTTTAAAGCATAACCGATTTGTGAGTGGGAACAGGGAAGAAACATAATGAATGAACTTCCAAGGAAAGAATCCTCAGGAATTAAAAGAAAAAAAAAAAAGTGCCCAAGAAAAAAATGGAGTAATACCAAATTTGAGGAGGAGGTATCCTCATACCCTAAAACACATGGTAACTGAAAATTACGTGACTGAATATGCTTCAAGTAAACAAGGGCATTTGGCATTCACAGGCCTAATGTAAGATAACTGTTCAAGGCTATCATCACAAGGGAGTAGCAAAGGATGTTGAAAATGAGATATGAGGAACACTGAGAAGTAGAAGCACCACCAGAAGTACAGGAACACTGACTATTGCTGGGAAAAAGGATCTGAGCGAGATGAGCTTTTTGCCTTCCCCAAGACTGGGAAGGATCAGAGCAAACAAGATGTTGGCTAGGATGGTTTCAAGGGTGACTGGAGAAGGCAAAAAGAAAGCCTTATAGAAGATATCCAGTAAGGGAGTTGACAGAGAAGTTTGAGTTTAACCACAAGAATGACACACACACACACACACACAAAAAAAAAAAAACAAGGCAAATGCACTGCAAAGAACAAGAGGCAGCTTTTTCAGAATTACAAAAAAAAATCGAGGTATGTCTAAAGAGGGAAAGGGACTGCATATGGGGATAAAAAGGGACTAACGGCAAAGCAGTCGTTCAAACAGGGCAGAAGAGTTGGCAGAGCTGGTGGGAGAATGTTCTGGAAATGGTGTGGGAAGAGGGAGTGGGATGGGACACAGAGGAGTAATCTCTCAGTTGTCTCAATCTTCAGGACATGAGTCATGGGGTCATATTATATGGTTTACAGAAAGATGAAAGCATGAAATGATAAAAACTAGAACGTCAGTGTTTATCTATCGGCAAGAGTTAACTGACCATAATAGTTGACATAAAATGCTAACAAACAAAGAACATACGCCATTCACCAGGTATGGGACCATAGACAAGTAACTTCTCTGAGGCTGTTTCCTCATCCTTTGCTTAATACCACACCTAACTATCACATACCTACCTCACAAGGCTGTTGGGGAATTAATTTACATAGAAAGAAAAAGCTTGTACTTTGTAAAGCACCTTCTTTATTCAATAGGTTGTTTGAGAGCTGTCATATGGCAGCAAACCTAAGAATCTCAGAAGAACTGTCACTTTTTCTATTTCAAAAGGGCATATATATACCCACATATAGACAGCCCAACTCACAACGACAACATAGGTACACTGAGACAGAAGTCATGATGGTAAAAGTATAACTAGGAAAGTATTCTCTTCCATAACAGGGAAAAATAAAAAACTTTGTTGACAATGTGTATCCCAATTCAATAGCAATTAAGAGAGATTTCATGTTCTGGCAGCCATTCTAGACACTATTTTTAGCTGAAACTTAAATACAATAAAACTGTCCACTGTCAAGGTCTAGTAACTGCCCGAGGATGAAGAGACTTAAAATGGAATCACCAAGGATTCTGTATACTTTGAATGATAAAAGAGTATAAACATAATGTCAATATATCTGAAAATTCAGATGAAATGGGTAAATTTCATAAAAATATAATTTACCAAAATGATCATCAGAAGAAATAAAAATCCTTACTACTACTACACCGATTTTCAGAATTGAATCTGTAATGAAGAGCTTTCCTACAAAGAAAACTCTAGGCTCAAATGGCTTCACTGCTGAATTCTACCGCACATTTAAAGAAAAAATAAAGCCAATCTTAACACAAACTCTTCCGGAGAATAGAAAAAGTGGGTATATTCCCCCATTCATTTTATGAGGCTAGCATAAATTTGATACCAAAACCTGACAAGGACAGTACAAGAAAACAAAATTAGGGGCTAATCTCACTCATGAACAAAGATCCAAAATTTCTAAGCAAAATAAATGAAAAATGTGCTATTGAACAGGTGGGTTTATTCCTGGAATGCAAAGTTGATTTAGCATTAGGAAATCAATCAATATAATCTGATTTGAGGAACAAAATCATATCATTATAACAAAAGCAGGAAAAGCATTTGATAAAATCCAATATCCATTCATGATATAAACTCTTAGCAAACTAGGGACAGAATGAAACTTCTTTAATCTGATAGAGTATTTGGGGAAAAAGTTAAGACAAACATCGGATTTACTGGTAAAATGTTTAAAAATTTTCCGAGAACGGGAACAATGGTGCCCAGTTACCACTTCGATTTAACACTATAATCAAAGTACTAACGAGTACAGTAAGGCCAAACAAAAGTATAATAATTTGAAAGGAAGAAACATTTTCTTCATTTGCAGATAAGAAGATTGAATACATAGTAAACTCAAAAGACTACAGATAAATTACTAAAAGCAATAAAAGTTTATTACAATTGCTAGATACAAGGTTGATATACAAAAATGTCCACTGTATTTTTATAAACAAAATGAAATCCATAAAAACTTACAGTATCAAAAAAATATCAAATACTTAGGAATAAATGTCTCAAAACCTGTGAGTGACTTTCTGGAGATGATTAAAATATTATAGGGAGAAATTAAAGAGGACCTAAATAAATGGAGCCAAATATCATGTTCGTCATTTAGAAAACTTAATAGTGTAAAGATGTCAATTCCCTCCAAGTTGTTCTAGATTCCATGCAATTCCAATAAAAATCCTACAGTTTGTGTGTGCGTGTAAAGTAACAATACTAAAATTCATATAAATATGCGAAGGGCCAAGAATAGCCAAGATGCTCTTGAAGAACAGCAAGGTGGAAGAATTTGCTCTACTGAATATCAAGACTTATTATAAAGCTATAGTAAACAAGACAGTGTAGTACAGGTGACAGGAGAGACAGACCAAGGAAGCAGAAGAGAGAGCACAGAAACAGTCATAGACATAAATGTTTTATTCCTGACAACAATAGGAAAAAGACAGTGTACTGGGACAATTAACTATCCATATGGAAAAAATAATAATAATACTGTCCCCTACCTTATAGAAACACAAAAATCAATTTCAGACAGATGCTAGATCTGAAAGGCAAAACAATAAAGCTTCTGGAAGATAAGAGAGACTATCTTAAAGACCTTGGGACAGGGAAAGATTTTTTTAAACTGGATTCGATATCTACTTTAAACATAAAGGAAAATATTGACAAATGAGACTACATTAAAAATAAGAACTCCTGGTTATCGAGACACATTAAAAATGAAAAAGCATGCCACACAGTGGCAGAGCATATTTGCAACTGGCAAAAGCTCATTTCCAGCATATAATAAAGAATTCCTACAAGCTAGCAAGTCAAAAAAGGAAGTACGCTAAACATTTCTGAAAGAATTCTACCCATTCTGAAAGAATTTGTGCTTCGGATCAAAGCACAAATAGTTATGAAAGCATGAACTCCGTTATCTGGATAGTTATAAATACTGATTCTTTACCTAAGAGTTACAGAAGAGTAAAAGGTGTTACTATATATTAACTTTTTAAAAAAACTTTTAATGTTCATATTTCAGTAAACTAGTTCTCCCCATTCTTTCTCTAATCAGAACTCTAAACTAAATACTTATCACTGAAAGGTCCTAGTTAAGAAATCTTTGCCTACTCCAAGGTCATAAAGATCTTCTCCAAAAACTGAGAACTGCCTATATATCCATTAGCAACAATGACAAGTAGTGATACATTCACACAATGGAATAATATCACAGTAATGAGAATGAAGATGATTCTCACATTCACAACGTTGCACAAAAGAGTACATACTGTAGGATTTTATTTATATACAGAACAAAAGCAGGCAAAACTAATCTATGGTGTTAAAAGTCAGGAAAACGGTTGGGGGTGGGGCAGGGGATGGGAAGTGACCAGAAGGGACCACAAAAGGAGAATTTCTAAGGTGCTAGTAATGTTCAGTTTCTTGATCTGGGTGCTGGTACACAAGTGTGCTCAGTTGGTGAAAACTGAGCTGCTCACTATTGATAATGTGCACTTTTCTGCACATATATTAAACTTCAATAAAAAGGTTTCTTTTTTTAAGTATGAAGGAAGGAATACAGAGTTTTCAAAACTGTTTACGGGATATGAAAGCAAAAAGTTTGAAGCCCATTGCATCAGATCAAAGCACAAAAACCAAATAACTAACACAAACTAAAAACGTAGACATTAGACAACATGGTAATTATTTAAAAATATTCATAAAGGTGTCAAACCAACTAGTGACTCTCAAATTTATAGTAACATTGCTCTGAAACTATCGAATACAATAGGATAAATCGATCTGTATCTAGATTTAGTGAATACAATGTTGTATTATAAAGATCTAAGACAAGCAACTTGATCCACATTCTGATTATTAATGGATGTTTGCAGCTGTTTCTTCTCATTCAGAGTTGTACCACATCAGCAAATGAAGGCCCTGAAAGCTTGACTCCATCCACGTCATTAATTTAAGGTCGACTCTACTTTGAGGTGGCAGCTCTTCCCCAGTCATATTTTGAGTGCCTTCCAATGTGAGGGGCTCATCTTCTGGCACTGTATCAGACAGTGTTCCCCTGCTATTCATAAGGTTTCCACTGGGCAATTTTTTCAGAAGTAGACTGCCAGGTTCTTCTTCCTAGTCTGTCTTAGTCTGGAAGCTCCGCTGAAACCTGTCCACCATGGATGACCCCGCTGGTATTTGAAAACCGGTGGCATAGCTTCCAGCATCACAGCAACAAGCAAGCCACCACAGTACGACAAACTGACAGATGAGTGGTGGTTATTAAATAAGAGGACCTTTCAAATCTTAAGAATGAACTAACAAAGGGATTTACACATCTAGTGAAACTAGTCAAACTAGTCAAAACTAGTCACACTAATTTTACAACTAAAGAAACCAAGGTCCTTTGAAGTTGGGTGATTTGTCCAAGGTTATAAGTAGCTCTGAATAAGTATAAACAATTGAAGTTATTTAACTTCACCCCCTCCCAATTTTCTGTAAGTACTAGGGGATTTCCACCCACCAAGAGAGCTTATTTACTGGCAGTGTCCCTCAAAAACACACCATATGCAACTGAAACAAACATTTTCATCCTAATGTTACCAACTCAAAATTACTTTCTTTGCCATCCATGACTAATAACCAAAAGCTATTTCTGTGGCAGAAAAGATAAGACTTTCAAATAGTTGAGTTCATGATGTGCAACCTAACAGATAACTTTCTGTTTACACTAAATGATGACTTTGACATCAAACTTAAGGCATGTGTGATCACTGGGATGACAACTGCACCTATTACACATGGTGTCCCTGAAAAAGACTTAAAAAAATTAATCTGACCACAAATTAAAACCAAGAATTTTCTAAAAGTACATATAAACAAACCTGCCAGATTACCAGCATTAATACTACTTAATATTAATTTCTTGTTATTAAATCAATCAAAACTATGGCCAGTACTAAAAAATTAATTTCTCCAATGTATTCCAATTACCTTTTACATCCAAGAATATGAAGAAAGTGTGCTTTCCACATAACTTTAACATCTTTAAAAGGAAGAAT